TCATTTATTTGTTTACGCAGGTCGGTATATAGGCAGCATAAGCTGATGTGGACCTGCGGTTAATTAAGAGTTACAAAATAAAAAGTAAGAAACCTAATAATCCTAATAATTACAAAAACATGTAAAATTCTAAAATATGATTACAAGTGAAATTAGAATTCCAAAAAATATTTATAAATATTGATATATAGTCATTTACCTTAAGTTTATAGAAAAACGCGACTACAGACTTCTCTTTCTCGTTTCGCATAAGCCATGCATACATACAGTTCTGTTAATGTACATACCTATGCTTAATTTGATATTTAATATTCAATTTAATGTTAGTATTTGGTAGGTTGATGTCTTTTGAGAACATGACATTATTTGGCTGAAAAATGTTGTTATTTTTAATTTGTAGAACAGTCAGAAAGTTCCAAGATGGCTGATGCAAAAGAAGGAATTTGGAGCTGGGAGGTAGGTAGACCTTAAACATGACTGTATACTTTTTAAAATAATTAACAACTGCATCGCTAAAATGGAGGTTGGGTGCCTGAGACACCCAGGAGCTTCCACTATTGGCAGCCATCTCCTAGATGAAGACTGCTTCCATGGCTGGCAAATCCTGGCAACCCAGCCATGAGCCCCCATGCAGTAAGAGGAACAGGCACCCATCACACTGTTGAAACAGTGGAAAGAGGGAGGGACAGGGGTGGGAGGGGAACTGCCTGGGTGATGAGCTGCCACCCTACAAAAAAACGCCAGAAAACACCTCCTGTACATACGCCATGCTATGATCCCCGAGCAAGTGGAATTCCGAAACATGCGCATATGTGTCGACACCACTGACTACCAGGGGAACGCAAGCGCTCTTTGTTTTTAAATTGCATTTAACTGCATGTATGTATGGGGCCCATACTTTGGGAATATGGGCATAAGGTCTTGAAACACAATAAATTAGGGTTAGAGCAGGAAAACCAGAAATGCTGTGTGAACACAGGGTGTCCTAGTGTATATGTGTATGTAATTACCTTTCCTAAATCCTTTTCCTCTCCCAGTTTTCAGTCAGAGAAATGGTGGAAAAGCTTTGGTAAGTATTTTGTCATCTTTTTGTTGTAACATCTTGAGAGGTACAGTGATGCTCAAGGGTTATTTCTTTCAGTAATCATTCTTTACACATAGCAAAACTTGGGAAAGGATTAAGTACAATGGTTTAAGGTTATGTAGTGTTAAAATACTGCTCTTGCTGTCTTATGGCTTTTTTTT